CAGCAGGAAACATCAATTATACCTCATTTTAATTAGCCTAATTGACCTTATCTCTCCCGTTCACAGGTTGATCCCTATTCACGAGACCGGGTGGAAGAGCTTTGATGTGACCCAGGCGGTACACTATTGGTCCAAGACGCAACAGAAGGCACCTATGCACCTGGAGGTGTGGATCGAGGGCGAGAGACCTGGCAGCTACGCGGCAGAGATAGCCAGGAGTGTCCGCTTTACCACCCAGGAGCAGACGGACAACACCTTGGGAAAGCCCGAGCTCGTCCTCTACACACTCAATCTCGAGGAGTACGGGTAAGGGCGCGAGCTTTTGATATACAGGAAATTGTGACAATTAGCATGTATCCTCTTTTTGTCTTCACCTGTCAGCATCTGCATTCATTAGTAGAGTAGTGTGGCACAGGGGCGCAAGTTTACTCATTCTCATGGTGTGGGGAAATGGAGCAGCAAATGACAGGCTGTCCTTCATTGGGGTGTTCGTTTATAGTCTTGATCCTATATCATTTTTAAAGCTGTGGTCTCTGATTAGATTTGATTAAGCATTTATATGCAGCATTACCCATAAGAAAACAAAAAACAAAAAGCAAATAATACAATTTGTTAGGTGCATGGCAGCCAGGGGTGTAGCTAGTAGATTCTGGACCCCCTGAAAGACTTTCCTGTCCCCCACCCCCCACTCCTTTCTTTTTTCCTTGTAAAAACTATGATCTTACTGGAACATGTCAGCAGCAGCCGACTAACCTTCTTTGTCATTTCTTCCTCAGCTCTCGTGGTGACTGTGACATCAACCAAAACAAAGACACCTGCTGCAGAGAGCAGTATTTTATCAATTTCCGTGCGCTCACCTGGACACAGTACTGGATCATCGAACCGGCCGGATACCAGGCCTTCAGGTGCACTGGAGGCTGCAAGCAGCCCAAGCGCAACTACGGCTATGGGGAGCGGAGATGTACCGTGTCCGAGAGCGCCCCGTTACCCATCATGTACCTGGTGAAGAAGGGGGACTACACTGAGATAGAAGTGGCTGAATTCCCCAACATGATTGTAGAAAAATGTGCATGCACAATGGACAATGTCTCTAAAGTATAAAGACATGGAAAACAAACCGTATATCCTATAATCACAAAGTGATGGGAGGTATTATAGGAATTGGTTTTTTCCATTGTTGTGTTGATATATTTAAAGGTTTTAAACAACACGTCTAGTACTTTATATTTAAATGGACATTTATTGGGAGTTTCACACATCAGGCAGTCCTGCCGTCATTAAATTCAATCTCCTTTCACAAGCACTTTTATATATTTTGTACATTTTTATACTTTTTTAAAAATCTGAATTTGTATGAGTTGCGCTGAGTCTGCAGTAATCACTCAAATTCTGTTTGTGTTATATTTTCATGCTGTACATAATATGAATGAGTTTTATGATTGGAAAATAAAATATTTTGTTTCACAGAAGGTTTCTGGTCGTCTTCTTCCCTGTCTGCCTGGCCTTTTTCACATGTATGATCACATTCACATACAGCTGCCTGCCTTTTCTTTCACTTCTCTATTTACACTTATAAGAATTTGTATGGCGGAGCAAATAATTAGCCTAATGACTTATAACACTTGTTACACTGTGGGCACACTGTCATTGACGACGGTCAAACCTGCTTGTAATGCTTTATTTACAGTGGGAAGGAGCCACATACAGAGACACCTAAAGTCAATTCACATTAAGCAAGAATGGGCCCTTGGTGTGTTTACATCAGGCTTAGACCAGGCCAAACATTGGTAATCAGGGTCAATATGTAATGCACTGTTTACTGCTGAGTGGGGGGTCTTGTCATTCATTAATATGCAGCTGATGGAGGTAAACATACTGCCCTGCCAAAGAGGAGCAGCTGTCTGTCTGGGAGGGAAGTGGATTCCCATCATACACCTCCAGCAGCACCAGGAGGCACAAGAATAAAAGAAACACAGGTGGTGCTGTAAAGAAAAGTAAACGTCAGCCTTTAAATATAAATAAGCAAAAAGTATACATCCGCTGTGTAGGTTTTAGAGTATTCAATCTAAATTACAGTACTAGTATTTAGCCTCCAGTACACACCTAAATCATCAACGGTGCAGCCGCTTAGTTACAGTCACATATGTTGGGAGACTATGCATTCACAGTACAGTAGTTTAAACACCCCTGTTTCTGTAGGGGGTCACTTTTGGAAAGACAGTACTGTGGCTAAACCTTCACTACGAAGACAAAGGGACACAAGCACCTCTGCAAAAAGCTGACTGATTAGCACGTCAGGAGATGGATACAAAAACATTTCTTTCTAACGGAGTTGAGTCAGTAATTTAAAGCTGGTCGTCCTTCAAACCCGTGTTCATGCAAGGAGAGAGGGCGCCAAGAGCCTTCAGACAAAGCTGGAGGGTTTGTCTCCCAAGATTCAGGGTTTGAAACTGGAGTACAGACGGCTGGACAGCTGCTTATAATAAAACTTCAGGTAGTTGAATAGCTCTCACTGGCACCGTAACAAACCACAAATCCACTCTACACCAGCTTCTGTAACTTTAATAGAGTTGAGACAAATTAAAAAACAATCCCTTTAACACAAATATCAAAAACTGTCAGATAAAAAAAATCTCAAAGCTTTTGCAATGTTGGTATAATAATAACCCTGAAATACAACCTGCAACGTAAAGTCATAAAAATATAGTCTGTTGTATTATACTTTATACTATAAACTTAAAGATTGCATTGAGCTAGGTGTATGCATCCAATACAACAAAACAGGAGGGCACATACTCCCAAAACGTTTAAATAGAACTGACAAGTCATCACACAGCAGTGCTCGGGCAAACTAACACTGTCACTATACAGTACAGTTATTACTCAAATTCAATTAACTCATGAACATTTGTGCATGGCTAAAATAGTGGTCAAGTATTTACACATATATTACATAATATGAACAGGTCAAAAATAAAACCAACGGACTCGCACCACGGTTTTGTCTGATCTACCGTCATTGATTACCAGCTCTGATGCCGTTCCAGTGTTGAAACACCTGTTGGGTGTCGTCAGCCAGGACAACGTGGCGGGTACATGATGAGCCATGTGAATGAGGAGCTGCCAGTAGCTGCCAGGGCCACACAGTCACCAACAGTAACTCTGGAGTGCTTTGAGTCAACATGGTAATGCCTTAACACTATGGAAAAGTTACACTTCACTATCAGGCTTCGTATTCATGAACTGTGGAGCACATGTGCTGTGACACTGTGGAGCCCTTTAAGTTTGCTGGTGAAGATGAGCAATGCTGCCTGCTTTCAACTGCTTCTAAGCTAAACTAGCATATTTAAAATTGAAATATATATAAATAGGGGGTGGGTGGGGTGGGGTGGGGTTTAAATACTATTGTGGTTCTGGTTTGTAGTTATTTCATCAATGTTGTTTTTCCAGAGGTTTACTATACTAAAAGAACCATTGACACACACTTTCTCTTGAGAATCAAATGCAGACAGTACCCTAACCTTTAAGATATAAAAAAAATTAGAGGCATAATGTAGCACTAAAAATGGCTTCCTTAGATCTTGGCCAAAACTACTTTCTCAAAACAATGATCATTAAAATAGCTAAAAGGCTGGAAACGACGCATCAAAGGTACTGAGGTAAAGGAAGGCTTGTAGTGGGGCTGATGTCCGTAATGTTTGAAGTAGCAAACCAGGCCATCGCCCATTCAAAGGTCTTTTACACACCTTTGAAGTGAATTAAAAAGTCATAAGCCAAGAAGAATGCAAAAAAGCCAACAAGCTGTTTATTTGCAGGTCTATGGAGTTTAGGTTACAGGTTTGATAGTAGGAACAAAAGACAAAAACTTGTTGAAATTTTCCTGCTGCTTCAGTTTAACTGATTGACAGTGGACTGTATGGACACAAAGTCTTACAGTATAGTCAGCTAGCATGCTTCTTGCTAAGAAGCCAAGATCATTACTATTTCTTAAACTTCTCATACACACTATGCAAAAACAAATATTTACAATTTGCAATAAAAAAAGCAAAAACAAAATCACAGCACAGATAAAATGCACAACTCGGGGGGGGAGGGGGAGGCCTGACAAAATGTTTCTGGATCCTGATATTACAAACATGTTTTTTTTTTCCCCTTTTAAAACCATGTCATTTAAAAGTGGTGCAAAGATAATGAAATATACAAAAACAAAAAAACAAAAACAAAAGTTGACTGAGACTGAACCCACGTTGTACATGTGTATATAGATCTACATATATATAAACTTTCAGTTACACTCAGGTTGCCTGGTCTCCTCTGGTGTGGAATGTGGTTGCTCCATATCACTTTAGACTTTGCTGGTCACTTGGTGGGTTTTAGAATATTAAAAGTAAATAATTTGGGGGTTCTCAAACAGCGGGGTGGAAGGATGTTCCGTGGCTAATGGTGGGTCTCATTGTCAGCCATCAGTCTGTTAGAACAAGTGTCTTAGTAATATCCAGGCTGATATTGCTGGCTCCACGGCTTCTGGTTCCAGAACTGCACAGGACACGCCAGAGACACACAGGTCACTTTAGGGTTAGACTTCACATTACTATTGACAAAATGATCAATACACCTGCGCCATTTAAGTCAGTCTATACCAGTTTCAATACAACTCTGCTTGAGACTGGCAACACATTAAACATTTTTAACTAAAGCTCTGTTTCTTAATAATGCAGTTTAAGACATTTACTGGAACTGTATAGTTTTACACGTTCAAGTAAAAACTGAGGTATAAACTTTGTCAGTGTTGTCATCAACACTGATAATGTAACCTGCAGACAGAAATACTGACCCCTTGCTGCCAGCTCTGTC